ACGTTCATCAAATGTGGAAAGTTGTGATGTCTTGGATAAGACAAAGACCAACTAGGACCAATTTATGAAATGTTTTGATAAAAACTACACTAACTCTTGAATATTTGTTTGTCAAGAAATGTTTATTGACAAGAGAATCTTATATGTCAAGGAGTTAGTGGGAGTCTTAATGGTCTTGAAAGGTTTCAAGAACAAATCAAATAAACCTTATCGATCATCACTAGCACACAAGTTGAGGTTTACAACCTATCGTGTTGACACTATTTTGTTTTCTATGCCATTCCAATTGAGTTAATTGTGCATATGAGTCCTATGAGTTCTCGGTTGAAGGCACAAAAGGCAAGGACCTTGATCAATGGAAAGTACTTTGATAGGCAAAGGTGAACTGCTTAACTACTTGGAAGACATGGTGGGCAGCTGTGCTACCATAAGGAAAGAAATCAAGATTAAGAAAGTTCGGTCCATATTAGTTTGAATTTGTCGTAAACTTTGGTTTTAACAAATTTACATGGATAGGAACACATACACCATTTAAATCTAAGTGTCATAAGATTTCCTCCTTCATGAAAATGATTGTGAGGAAATGTTTTCACTAAGAAAGATTTTAAAAGGATAGTGATTGTAAAATTGCATTCTCAAATTCGATTATGGTTACGGTATCCCTTTCCATGATTTGAATTGTGAGGTTTGGCAATTAGTATTAAGTGTTTAAACACACATATGAACTATCTAAGGCAAAGGTGTATAAGTTCGAGAAGCCTTGATAAAAGATTATCAAAGCATTAAGTATTAGAAACATGGACTTAAGAAATTCAATAGGTATTGTTTTTTCTGAAAGTTAAGATGTTTATGAATACATGTCAAAGCTAGTGGGAGCATAATTGTTATGTTTATAATAATCATCATGATAGTGGGAGCATAAATGTTATGATTGTATGATTATTAAGGCAAGTATTGCAAGTTGGCAATATTAATTATAGAAAACAAGAGTCATTCTTTGCAAAAGTCGTAAGGATGGAATAGTTGTTTTGCTATAATTAAGGGAGAGAATATTATGCTTCATTTCAAATCTAAAGGCTTAGGTTGTGGAATGTTAATAACTTAGTCAAAGAAACATAGTGTGTTCTTAAAATTTCGATTATGATTACGGCGTTCCTTTTCACAATTCGAATTTTGAGAACATATCAAATAAAACATTATGTGTCGTGTCCCATACGCTTCGGGTATAGGATCGATTGCAAATGCTTTAATGTTTGACTATTCTAAAATTTTCAAAATGTCTAGCGCATTTAGAGGGAAAAGGGACTAGAATCGGTTTTGACTAAAACAATTAAACAACTATCAAAGGACAATCCAAAGTTCGACGAGGATTGGCTGCTTATGAGTAGTTGGAAGCATGGTATTGAATGGACCATATCGACATTATTATGAATAGAAAAGATTCTATTAAGAATGAGTTGTCATATGGAAATTATGGAAATGTTTCCATATTGGATGGACCATATCGACATCATTACGAATAGATAAGATTCTATTAAGAATGAGTTGTCATATGGAAAATATGGAAGCGTGTCCATATTGAGAATTGAATATTGAAAATCTATTTCTAGATTAGAAACTTTTATGCAAAAGGATGTTCTGAGGAATGTACTTTGAGTGAGAGACATCAGATCTAAGGAATTGTCTTGTAACAATCTCCGATAGAGGATTTTGTAATATCATTAGCAATAGTCTTTGTGACTTTGGTGCAGTGACATTACAAAATAATCATTGTATAGAATGTTAGAATCTAGCATATTCTATAAGTAGCAAGAATTTGATATTCTTTCACTTATGAAAAGGGATTTGGAGTTGTGAAATGAGAATGATTGGAAATGTGTTCAACAATTTGATCTATTTCACAAAGTAAGAACCATAGGTAAACATTGTGTACATGCTAGGAACATGGGACAAGTGTAATAATTCAAGTAAGAAGTTGATTACCCGAAACGACAAATAATGAGTAATCGATATGGTGATAAATAAAAGGAGTTTTATTTATACCCAAAGGTTTGAGGCCATATGGGATTAGTATTATTCTTGTGTTTCACTTTGCATGTTTTGACTTCCTGAATAATTCAATTGGTTTAGAACAGTCAAATTATTCGAACGGGCCACAGTCGTTCATATGTTGGAAGTAGATATGAATGAAGACTGTCGTGAATTGGTGTGTGGATTGTCTAAAAGAGTATTAGACATAAGCAAATGTTTGCTGCAACGTTCATGAGTGCCTATGAATATGAATTTGAGCATTGGATTAAACCCACGCTCGCTTGGATCACTCCATGAATTGTATCACGAGTGATTGGTGAGACGATAACATCTTATATTCTTGAAACCCAGATGTGTGAGTTGTATCTTGCTAATCGGTTGCACATTGATAATATGAAAACGCACTAGTAACTTGGTGTTATAAAACATATTGTTGTGTGTGATTCGGTGAGTGAGTGCAAGCGAGCATTGTATCAAAGTTTATCCGTTCCTTTTATCCAAAGTAGGATAAAAGCGATATCTTTGGGCCCCTCGATGGTTTAGTGATGATAAACGTAAATGCTCGGCCGGGCTAGGGCTAATTTGATTTGTTCAATTAGTCAGTCGTCATAAATCGGAAGTCGAGAAATAGTACAAAGAGAATGATTTGAAATCATATCTCATACGATATCTAGAATGGAGGAATATATGATCCCTTATCTAAAGGACACGCGTATCTGATAGGATCAGAATTGACAGCGGCTTTGGAAAGCTACGATTGCAGATCAGGATCTGAAGTCATACGCATAATAGTTATTAGACTTATCCAAGTGGGAGACTGTTGGATTAGTGTCTAAGTCCATAACTATTTTGGTATGTAATTGACCCGATGGTGCATGGTCCTTTTGGGTTGCCTTCACCAAAGCAACTTGATAGGATGAATTATGGAGAGAAAGGATTAAATATGATTTATTAATATATTATGAGAATAATATATTAAAGGAGAAATCATATTGTTTAATTAATATTAGTCAAGAATTAATTAGTAATTAGTTTTGTGACTAAAAGAGATTAATTAAACTTAAGGGACTGGAATTGTAATTATAAGATAATTGCAATTTGGGCTATGGATTGTCTTAAATTAAGGAGTGGACGAATTCTATGGGGAAGCCCATAAGGAAATCGTCCAAGGCCTTAATTAAAGGAGTCTATGGGTTGCTTAGGGCTTAAGCATCCAAATTAGGGTTTCCTTGTTAGATAACCCTAATAGCCTCACTATATATAGAACCGTTAAGGCTAAAAAACGTGGGGAACTTCTCTTCTAGGGTTAGAACATGTTTTGGGCAGCCTCCATCCTCTCTCCTCTTCATCCTCTTGCTTATGGTGTTTGTGAACCATTAGAGGAGTGACATTTGTGACTCTAAGCTTTCTAAAGTCAATACAATGAGGAATTGGATTGTTATTGCTACATAACAATCAAGGTAATGTCTTAAACCCATTCTTATGTTAATATGATTACTTGTATGCTAGAATTAGGGTTTATAGTCTTGGATAACTTGCATGTACAATAGAGAAACCTAGATCCAAGCATTAGGGTTTGTATGGGCACATAGGATGTTCTTATGACCAAAACCCATCAGTTTTATCTAACCGTCTCACATGTCATCAATGTTGTATACCGTCGCTGGTCTCCATCATAAGCAATCGTCACCTGCCTCCATCGCCAAATGACCGTCGCCGGTCTCCATTGTCAATCTGATCGCCTGTGGTCTCAGCTGAGTTCAGTTGCTTTATATAAATTTCTTTGTCTGATTCCATGTATTGTTGCATTAATATGTGTCCATGAGTGTTTAATTTCAAGTTTTTGAGTCCGATGTCAAGTGTATCTACATAAATTGAATTTCAAGTTTCAATTCATGCATCATGTATGATTTGTTTTTCAATTTATATTTCAATTTTGATCTCAGATTTCATAATTGATTTATGCTTCAATATTTGAATCAAATATCTCAATCCAATTCTTAATGATAAATATTATATATTATGGCAAGGCTTATTGATAAATTGATTTTAGATACAGACATGCAATGGTTTTAACTCTGATGATGGGGTGGATAGTGGTGGTGAAGAATACGGTAGATAGCTTTCTAGGAAGGAAGGGTAGTTACAAACATGAAATGGGAATGGAAAAAAATGGTGTGGTAGGTAAGGTGAGGTGAGGTTATAGTTGTGATGTGTTTATTTAAATAAATTAAAAAATCAATGACAATATAGTGTTTTTAGGTAAGATAGTGACCAAACGCGCAACAAAAACAAACATTAGAAAATTACTCCAAACCAAAGGGACCGTGTAATTTACTCTTTTATTTACTAAAAATTTGGCTCGATTAGAGTAGATTGTTAGTAGGGGTGAGCGCGGTGCAGTTCGGTACGGTTATTAGCCAAAACCTCACCACTAACCGCAAATGCGGTTAATCTATTTTCAAAACCGCTTGGTGCGGTTAGACGGTTATGTTTGCGGTGCGGTTTTGTTTTTTCTGTGTTGCGGTTATTAACTGCATGGATTTGGTTCGGTTATTTTGTGTGGGTTTTAACCATAGTTTAGAGCTCAAACGGTTTAAAAAGTTCAAACATATTACTTATAATAAAAAAAACCCATAAAGTATAAAATAATTAACTTAAATCACAAACAACTAATATCTTAAAAACGTCAAATCAATTGTAATTAACAAGAAATATTTTAAAATTGTCTAATTTCACTATTTTTCAAAGTTAAACATAACAAAAAATTAATACTTTTGTCTTCTAGTATTTTATCCATCTTTCATCCATAAAACTTGTCTTATTTTTAATATTTAATATATTAATAATTAGTTAAAAAAAATTGTATATAATACATGCGGTGCCGTGCTGTTTTTTTTGTGGTTTTTTGAAAACTAATAACCACACCACACCGCAAATTTGCGGTTTTTGAAAAACAAAAACACACAATCTAATTGTTAGACTGGCTTGGGTTGACGACGGGCTAATAGCTTTTCCAAACTCTACCGTCTTCAAAGTCACTAGCAGCGAAGGCGGTGAGGCCAGCGAAAAGGCTAAGCCTCCATTGCCACTCGTATCTCTCCTTAATTTCTCGGTTCACTCGGTAAGAGTTTCTCATTTCTTTTTTTCTATCTGACCTAATTCTAATTGATTTCACTAGCTTTTGTCTATTTGTGTTTTACAAAATTCTGAATATGCTGCAAAACACACAAATTGGAACCTGTATTCGAAGAAGATAGAAATTCAGCGTTTTTGAGAATGACGTAGGTATCTTTTTAGGCCTCTGTTCTGCTGCACACTTGCTCTCCTAATGGTAGATATAGTGGATTAATTAAATGCTTGCCATTATTTTCTCTAAATGTGGTTTCCCTAATAATCTTGGAACTTTTGTTTCATTGCCTCAGAGCCCTTCTGAAGTACATGCTAATGTTGCAGAAACTTCCTGTACTATAACACGAAATGCACAATCTCTTCATGTCTCTATGCTTTCTAGTTCAATCTTTGTATGTGTTTATGACTTCATGTGCTGGATGCATTGTCGATAGGGGGGGGGGGGGGGGATTTTAGCTATTTTCCTGATTTACCCTTTTACTCCTTCTAGAATAGAGCTGTAGCAGTTTTGGTTCATTTGCAAATTTAATTACTATATCAAGATTTGTATCAGAATAATAACGAAGAGGGATATATTTGTTAGGGAGAAGTTACATGGAAATTTCCATACGAAATATGATTTGTGCATCAAACATGTCACTATTGTTGTCCCAACTTGTAATCAGGAGGTTTACTTTGTTGACTTCAAAGTCTTTGTGTGAAGAAGATTTGTGGCCAAGTACATTTACGTTTTCCATAGTTTGTACCCAAAACTCCAAATTCAATAATACTAATTATCTAATTCGCTATAATCCAACAAATTTCATAACAATATTGCTATCAAATTAAAGAGAAAAATTATTGAAATTCTGATATAACTGGTTTAATTATTAAAATAGTTCAGATTAAAAAATGTTGGTAATTTGTTCTAGGTTAAAAGAAATTATATTTATATGTATGTATGTATTGTACGATATATGATGTGTGATGTATGTATATGCGTGTGCGTGTGTTAGAAGTTCCATGTGTACTTGTTTGTGGATACAAATTAGGTTGCCAATTGACTTCCAATTCTTGTTCACATGACTTCAAAGTCCTCCATGACAATATGATGCTCTTCATTATATGGATTTATGAATGAACTATTCTCGATCATATCAACCCATCAGTTCATCATAACAACCTATATTTCCACTTCATTTTCTTTCAAAATTAAACTGAGTTGGGATTGATAATGGGGAATCACAGGGATTTGGGGCTCCATCTTGTTTTCGTATGTGTTTTTTTGTTTGCAACTACAAATACTTGTTTCAGTGCTGGAAATGTAAATGTTGTTTGTTCTCAGAAAGAGCGCCTTGCTCTTCTCAAGTTCAAAGGGAGTGTGAATGATTTTTCTGGAATGTTGTCATCATGGGTTGGCAATGACTGTTGCATGTGGGAAGGAATCCAGTGTGACAGTCTCACTGGAACTGTTGAAAGCCTTCATCTCAATGACTTAGTTGGTAATGAGGTGAACTCTTCTTTGGCAGAGCTATGGCATCTCAAATACTTAGATTTGAGTTGGAATGATTTTAGTGGAAGCCGGATCCCTGAGTTCATTGGATCCTTCAAACAGCTGAGATATCTCAATCTCTCTGATGCTGGTTTTCAAGGTATTATTCCTCCTCACATTGGAAATCTTTCTAATTTAAAGGTTCTTGATCTCAGTTCAAACCATGAGCTCATGGCAGATGATATGGCATGGGTTTTTGGCCTTTCGTCACTTGAGCATCTCGACCTCAATCGGATGAAACTTAGTGGAGCACAAAATTTGGACATAGTTCCTTACATGATTCCTTCATTAAAAGAGTTAAGTTTGTCTGAATGTAGATTTTCCAATGCTGATTTTCTTAATTCGAGTAGAATAATTCCCAATATCAAATACCTAGAGCTTAGCTTCAATTCCTTCAAAGGTCCACTGCCTGGCTTTCTTCAGAACATGACATCCCTAGCATTCCTCGATCTTTCATACTTTGATCTAAGTTTGAATTGGAACTTTGCAAAGTTGCTAAACATGATCCCTTCTTTATTTGAGCTGCATTTGTCATGTTGTGGGCTCAAGAACACGTTTCTTTCTTCCCCTTTTCTCAATTTCAGTACACTTTCAAACATCCAACACCTGGATCTTAGCGTGAATTCAATTGAAGGCATGTTTCCATCTATTTTAACTAACATGAGTTCCCTAAAAGTCCTTGACCTTTCAGGAAACATGCTGAGTTCTTCGGTTCCTATTATGCATAACCTTCTTGAACTTGATGTTTCTAGAAACCACTTGAAGCAGATTCAACACCTTGGAATCTGGAAACAGTGTCACCTCAAACAACTGAGTGCCTCATACAATCATTTTGAGATAGAAATGATCGACTCACCAAAAAATGTATGCTATTGCTCCCAGTATGCTTTGGAGATGTTGGATATACATGGGAGTGTAAATGGTACAATTCCAAAATCACTTGGAAGATTGGCCAATTTAAGAGTCTTGGATCTATCTAGCAGTGGATTGACAGGTCCAATCTCCAGATCTCTAAGAAGGTTAAGTTTTTTAGAAGTATTGGATCTCTCTAATAACCAGCTAACCGGTTACATTCCAACATTCCTTGGAAAGTTAACAGCTTTAAAAAATTTGTATCTAGGATCCAATAGGTTAATGGGCCCCATACCAGCATCTCTAGGAAGACTTCTTTCACTACAAGCAATTTCGATGTCTTCAAACCTGTTAAATGGGACTATTCCGGTTTCAATTGGGCAACTTGTCAAACTTGAATATTTAGATATCTCAAACAATTCCTTAGAAAGAATAGTTTCCAAAGCCCATTTTGCTAACCTTTTGATGTTGAGTTACTTGGATGCTTCTTCTAACACCAAGTTGGCATTCAATGTTTCATGTGAGTGTTTACCTCCATTCCAATTGGTGGATCTTGATCTTAGTTCTTGCAATATTGCAAATGGATTTCCACAGTGGATTCGAGATCAAAGGAAACTTGAGAGGTTAGTGTTGTCGAATGCTTCAATTTCAGGAACTCTGCCCACATGGTTGCGAAAGATGCCCAATATTCCTTTTCTAGATCTTTCCCACAACAAACTCAGCGGACCATTGACAAACCTTCCTGATGGGTATGTGTCTGAATTTGGAACTCTCCGGGCTTTATTCCTGGAAAGTAATCTATTCAATGAGTCGATTCCGAGTTCATTGTGTAGAAGGACAGATTTGGAATATCTTGACCTTTCCAGAAATAGGTTAACTGGAAAAATTCCAAATTGTCTTGAGAATCTGCAAAAGCTGTTTGTCATGATATTTAGCTCAAATCGGTTGTGTGGTGTGATTCCAAATTCCATATTTCGTAATTCTTCGTCATTAGAGTGGTTAAAATTGAATGACAATAACTTAACTGGTGAAGTTCCTCGAGAATTGGGGAGTTTACAAAATTTAATGGTCTTAGATTTGGGTGATAATAAGTTCTCGGGAAACATACCTGAATGGATTGGAGAAAAGCTCGCATATTTGGTTGTTTTGAGGTTGCACAAAAATAACTTCACCGGAAGAATTCCTCGATCTTTGTGCAAATCTTCAAATCTGCAAATATTGGATGTTGCATACAACAACTTAACTGGAACAATCCCTCAATGTCTAGGAGGTTTAAATGCCATGGTTAGGGTTAGCAGAGGAATTTGGCATGTTCACCTGGTTGATTATGACCAAAACGTGATTCAAGTGATGAAAGGTGTTGATCTTGAATATTCAACAACTTGGGATATGGTTTATAACATGGACCTTTCAAGCAATAAACTTGTAGGAGAAATACCAGTAGAGATAACTGCACTTTCTATGTTGGTGGGTCTCAATTTGTCAAACAATCATCTCAGTGGGGGAATTCCAGACAACATCGGAAACATGACGTCATTATTCTCTCTCGATTTATCTGGAAACGAGTTGACCGGGATGATCCCTCCAAGCATGGTAGCTTTGACTTTTTTGAGTCATTTGAATTTGTCACACAACCACTTGTGGGGACGAATTCCAAGCGGAAATCAATTGCAGACACTTACTGATCCATCAATATATGCCGGGAACAAAGATCTATGTGGAGCTCCGTTGCTGAATAATTGCTCAAATCATCAAGACCCAACAACAACCCCCGAGAACAAATACGAAGCAGCTTATGAGCCAACAAATGTATGGTTGAAGATATGGTATTATGTGGACGTAGCATGTGGTTTTGCAACAGGGTTTTGGGGTGTTATTGGAGTTTTAGTGTTCAAGAAGCAGTGGAGACGGAAGTTTTTCACGTTTTTTGAGGAAACTCTGGATGAGATTTATTATATATATATATATATATATATATATATATATATATATATATATATATATATATATATATATATATATATATATATATATATATATATATATATATATAGCAATGATTGTTTTGAATTTTTAGTACTGCTATTTTGCTTATTTATACTACTATTTGGATTTTGTATTTGCATGACATTTTTTTACTAGATTTGGTATTTATATAGAGATTAAATTATCAGGTAATCTACTTATTATTTAGTTCTTCATTCGTGCGTTTTCTAGTTTTTTTTAAGCAAAAAAACGAGTTATTGTTATAAAAGATCTTGTTCTTAGATTGGAATAGAGTTAGGTCTTGGTTAATGATTTGGTACGGCTTCAAATACTGATCCCCTAATCGTGGGGACTATGTTAATCTGAGTGGAAAATCTCATCTTTTTGCTTTTTACATGTTTCTCTCCACATACTCAAATTTTATCCATGTGTTTATTCCTGCAAAGCAAGAAAAATATTGTTATTTGACTATAAAAAATATCACCCTTTGTACAAAGAATCTTTCTAGGAGTACGCCCTAATTTGCATTTCAGCATCTTAAATTATCAAATGAAGGCTACATCAGAAATCAAGTAACGCTCTACTTAATGCTATCAATAGACCTCTACAACTCTAATTACAAGAAACATGAAGTTGTACTTGTGTGATATTTTGGTAGCTGAAACCTAAATTGTACCAATTTATTTCATTGAGATTTATGTTGGTCTTGTAACATTCAGACCAAAATCACCAAATTATTGTCCACACGAGAACAAACCGATCTAAACAAATTTGAGCATTAGTTGAAGGATTTTTCTGTAAATTATCTGAGTTGGCTTGAAAGAAGCTTTATATATATATATATATATATATATATATATATATATATATATATATATATATATATATATATATATATATATATATATATATATATATATATATATTATGCAACATCATGAAATTGGAGTTGATGCAACGTTTATTGTCAGACTACAATATAACAGGTGTTACTTTCATTGGGTGATCTAGAATTGTTGCTTCCATTGATGAAACATGCTTCCCTAGGTATGAAATCCCTTGATATAACAGGTGTTACTTTCATTGGGTGATCATAGATTTGTTGCTTCCACTGATGAAACATGCTTCTCTAAATTGGAACTACATATCACCAAACATGTTTTTCTTCATTTTCATTTAAATTTCTTTCAAGAAATCAACATTAAATCCTAGCATCAAATGTAACATTTGACAATATTCAGAATATGTCATTAGCAAAGAACCTATTGATAGCATATATCATAAAGGGAATATTGCGGGAAATAGCAACATACTTTGGTTTTGCTACCTACACTTAGAGACACCGTAGTTTATCCTTTTTCCATAATGACGCGTGCAATTGCGGATCTAGAATTTTTTTTGAAGAATGTCACCAACATTAAAAGCCTAATTTATAGTTACTTAATATAAGATAGCTTTTGGTTTTTCTATGTGCGGTTTTCTACAATGAAAGAAACTAATCGACAAATTCAATTTATAAAAAACCAAAATTTGTATCATTGATTTTTGTTTGGTTTTTCTCTCACTCATACAACTCAAAATACTTGCTTTATAATGTACACTTAGCCACTCCCCATTTCACTTTAATAAAATAACAAAATCCTATGGCTTTTAACTCTCCAACCATGTCATGTTATGTCAGGTATAAGCTTTAGGAGGTTGCACCCAACACCCTACTGTTGGCAACACTATGGGCGTGTTTGACACAAAGTATTTGAGAGCGTTTGGGAACTTGTAGCTTCCGGTGTTTGAAAAAATGTTCCATTTAAATAAAAAATATCGTTTGACACTACAAACTTTTAATATTTAGTTTAAACAAAACGCTCCAAATATAAAAATTATCTCACGTAGCGTTTAACAAAAGGCTATCCTGATACCGCTACCCGCTAATTTAGAATAATTGGTTAACCTAGGATCTTTAAAAACTAACGAAAATGACTTAATTGATACGTATCATATAAGTTAGATAGTTAGATGGCCTATAGTGCAAAAAAAAAAAAAAAAAAAAAAAAACCCATAAATAGTCAAATTGGACCAAACACCTAAGTTCATTGCCTTGCAGCTATCACAAAACTGTCCCAAGTTCGCTTTGTGTTTTTCTTCAGCATCTTCGTTAAACCTCACGAAGTTGGCTTCCAGGCTCTCAGTTTTCTTGTTTGCCATTGGTACTTGGTCAACCAAGATCCATGTGCCGATAACCCCTATTATTCAAGAAATAGGGAAGATCTCCAAGAATCAAAGACTCAATTTTTATTCTGCGTAATTCAGAAAATAAAAGCAACGTCCAAAATAGAGTTCAGTCAAAACCCTAGGCAAGACGCACCAAAATAAACGGATAACTACTATTTCAAAGTAAAATACTAATTCAACTCAAAACGCACGGACGTATCAATTTCATTAGTATATAAAGTCAAATTAATGAGTTTTTTAAGAGCATAATAAATAGTCAGTATATGATACAAATGTAAATTTGTATAGCTACAATTAGCTCTAATTCCCTGATTAATGATTATGATTCTAGTTTTCAAGTCACTCCTTTTAATCAAATGCACTTATTATGTCATCCATAGTTAATAATGTGCACGAAATGTAAAGAAATTAGCTCTTTCAATAATAAGAAAGAGGAACATATTTGTTAGGAAGAAGTTGCATGGAAAATTCCCCAAGAAAGATGCTTGGTCAATCAATCATGGCACTATTTCTATATGTGAGTGTTATTCGGGGGTGAAGACTTGTGGATAAAATAGATTCACTTGTGGATACCAAAAGCATTCTAATTTAACCACACAAATTTTGCTAAAATAAAAAGAAATTTTAACCATATTGGTGTATCACATTAAAGAAAATATTATTCTTCTTGATACAATTTTTTTAATTATAAAGCTACTTATATTGAAGATATTATTAGATAAAAATGATGAGAGACTATTTTAAATTGGCTTTGTGTATTCATTTCAGCTTGAAGTCTGCCATCCATCTTTCAGTGAATCTAAAAAATGTTAGTGCCAGTCACAGCCTTTGTTTGATTCAATCTAACACCTGTAAAAAGTTCCTAGGTTTGGTTCTCAATTAAACACCGCCTTGTATGTGTGTGTGTATACACACACGTTATACTATATTGTATTAAAAATTCCATTCCCACAACCAACGTTTCATAAACTACTTTATTCTGATTTTGAAAAAAGAAAAAAGGTCTAAAACAAAAGGATACCAACGTGAGAATAATAATGTCCATTAAGTTCCAAGTCTTTCAAGTCTTGTGCATTGACTTCCAAGTCTTTCCTGTCAATAAGTTCTTGATGTACGTCTTTATATTAATTGAATTGGTTTCTTCATCATAAAAATCCATCAGTTCATCATAACAAGCCATCTTTCCACATCAACTTTCTTGCAAATTAAACCCAACTAGGGTTGATAATGGGGACTCGGAATGATTTGGGGCTCCATCTCATTTTCACAAGTTTTTTCTTGCTTGCAACCACATATACTTGTTTGAGTGTTGAAAATACTAGCATCATTTGCTTTGAGCAAGAGCGCCTTGCTCTTCTCAAGTTTAAACATAGTGTGAAAGATTTTTCTGGAATGTTGTCATCATGGATTGGCAAAGACTGTTGCAGGTGGGAAGGAATCCAGTGTGACAGTCTCACTGGAAGAGTTGAAAGCCTGAATCTCCATTTCGTAGTTGGTAATGAGGTGAATTCTTCTTTAGTAGAATTGAGGCATCTAAATCACTTGGACTTGAGTGAGAATGATTTTAGAGGAAGCCGCATCCCTGAGTTTATTGGATCCTTCAAACAAATGACATACCTCAATCTCTCGAATGCTGGATTTCGAGGTATTATTCCTCCTCACATTGGAAATCTTTCTAATTTAAAGGTTTTGGATCTCAGTTTGAACTACTACCTGATGTCGGATGATATGTCATGGACTTTTGGCCTTCTATCACTCCAGCATCTCAACTTGAGTGATGTGGATCTTGGCGGAGCAAAGAACATGGGCATGGTGCTTTACAATCTTCCTTCGTTAAAAGAGTTAAGTTTGCGTGGTTGTGGACTTTCTAATCTTGGTCCTTTTCTTAATTCAAGTAGAACACTTCCCAACATCAAACACCTGGATCTTAGCTTCAATTCCTTCACAGGTCCACTTCCTGGCTTTTTTCAGAACTTGACATCCCTGACATTCCTGGATCTTTCAAACTTTGATCTTAGTTTGGCATGGAACTTTGCAGACTTTCTAAAAATGATCCCTTCTTTAACAGAGCTGCACATGTCACATTGTGAGCTGAACAAGACATTTTTGTCTTCCCCTCATCTCAATCTCAGTACTATTTCTAACATCCAACACCTGGATCTTAGCGATAATTCAATTGGAGGCATATTTCCATCCATTTTAACAAACATGACTTCACTAAGATTTCTTTATCTTTCGGGAAACATGTTGAGTTCATCAGTTTCTACTATGCCTAACCTTTTAGAGCTTGATCTCTCGAACAACAGATTGACAGGTCCAATCCCTGAATCTCTAAGAAGATTAAGATTCTTAGAGGTATTAGATCTATCATATAACGAGTTCACAGGTCCTATTCCAACATTCTTTGGGAAACTCTCCAAACTTGACCTTTCTTTCAATCAATTGAATGGTTCAATTCCAGACTTCTTTGGAAAATTAACAGATTTAACTGATCTGAATCTAGGATCCAATCAGTTAAGGGGAGCTATTCCGGTTTCAGTTGGGAAACTTTCCAAACTCCATGCTCTAGATATCTCTTACAATTCTTTGGAAGGAGTAGTTTCTGAAGCCCATTTTGCTAATCTTTCTATGTTGAAGCATTTGGATACTTCTTATAACACTAAACTGACATTCAAAGTTTCACGTGAGTGGATACCTCCATTCCAATTGGTGTCTTTTAAAATCATTTCTTGCAATATCGGAAGTGAATTCCCGCAATGGCTTCAAAATCAAAGGACACTTGAGACGTTAGTGTTGTCGAATGCTTCAATTTCAGGACCTTTGCCCACATGGTTGCGTGAGATGCCTGTCATTCCTTTCTTAGATCTCTCTCACAACAAACTCAGTGGATCTTTAACAAACCTTCCTAATGGTGGAAACTTTTATGTGTCTGGATATCGAGTTGACCGGGTATTATCTCTAGAAGATAACCTTTTCAATGAGTCGATACCAAGGTCATTGTGTAGAAGGACAGACTTGGAAATACTTGATCTTTCTAGAAATAGGTTAACAGGGAAAATTCCCAAGTGTCTTCAGAATCTACAACAGTTGTTTGCGATGATATTTAGCACAAATCAACTCTCAGGTTTCATTCCAAGTTTTATAGCATTTAATTCTTCATCGTTGGTTTGGTTACAATTGAATGACAATAACTTTGTTGGTGAAGTCCCTCGAGAATTGGGGAAGTTACGCAATTTAAGTGTTCTAGATTTGGGTGATAATAATTTTTCTGGAAATATACCAGATTGGATTGGCGAAAACCTTCTATCTTTGATGGTCTTAAGGTTACACAAAAATCACTTCACTGGAAAAATTCCTCTATCATTATGTAAATGTTCAAAGCTTCATATTTTGGATGTTGCATACAACAACTTAACGGGAACCATCCCTGCTTGTCTAGGAAACTTGGATGCCATGGCTAGCAAATTATCTGAGAGTGCGCATGTTTATGAAAGGGTGATTCAAGTAATCAAAGGTGTTGATCTTGAATATACAACAACCTGGGATATAGTCTATAACATGGACCTTTCAAGCAATAAACTTGTAGGAGAAATACCTGTGGAGATAACTGCGCTTTCTATGTTGTTGGGTCTCAATTTGTCAAATAATCATCTCAGTGGGAGAATTCCAGAAAACATTGGAAACATGATGAGGTTAGAATCTCTTGATTTATCTGGAAATAAGTTGACCGGGATGATTCCTTCAAGCATGGCAGCTTTGACTTTTTTGAGTCATTTGAATCTGTCACACAACAACTTGTGGGGAAGAATTCCAACAGGCCATCAGTTGCAGACCCTTATTGATGATCCATCAATATATGCTGGGAACAGAGATCTTTGTGGACCTCCATTGACAAAGGATTGCTCAAAGCATGAAGACCAAACAACAACAATAACAATGCCCAAGAAGAAATACAAACAGACTGATGCGCCTACCAAAGCATGGTTGAAGACATGGTATTACGTAGATGTAACGTGTGGTTTTGCAACAGGGTTTTGGGGTGTTATTGGACTTTTGTTGCTCATGAAGCAGTGGAGACAGAAGCTTTTCACCTTTGTGGAGGAAACCATTGAGAATATTTCCTAAGTGTATATTAGTTATGATTGTTTTACTTCTTAATACACCTTTTGTGCTTATTTATGCTACTATTTGGATTTTATATATGTATGACATTTGTAATATAGGTGTTGTTTAAACGTTTCCTTTTTTAAATTTTGTTGGATTCTGTACTTATACAAAATGAAGTTGTCAGATTAGATTATAATGAAATTGAATCTCGTGGGAATTCATAAAATCCACAAGTGGTGGTATTTTAACTTGAAGTACCTTGCTTTGATGCTCTCGACCTTTTGCTGCACTGCATCCGCCACTTTTCATTAATCTTATTTTCTGTTGATGTTTTGTTCTACCTCAAATATTTGACCCCATAATTGCCATCCTAGTTTCTATGAAAATTTTCATCTTTTACCTCTTTATATGTTTATGTGTTTGTTGTTTCTCTTCCAGAATTTAAATTTCCATATTCTTTCTTCTTTGTAATCCACTTTTGTTACTTGCAATCTGAATATCATTCGGTGTTGTTCTTTGGTTAGATATAGATATAGAAAGGAATTCATCTGTAATTCTAGAGTTCTAGCATCATTGTACTGAAGAATAAAAATTGTGAAGGGATTTAGGCCCTTGGGCAAGAGATTAAACGCAAAGTGAAGGAGACAAACTGAAACTGAAGTTGATCCATGGGTTTTTGTGGTGGCAGTACCTTATGAGACATATCTTAAATTAATAAAAGAAAAAGGTAAAGCATTTCATAGCAATTACAGTTTGCATATGTTTATTGTATTTAAAAAGCATTCAAAGGTTTAACCGACCATTTTCTCTTTAATGGGTCTTGTTGTCCCCGCATAAGTGGCCTGGTGGTAAGGATGTGATAATCAATAAGAGATGTCTTAGTTTACCTTCCTTGCTCTGGACACTTTGTGATTTTCGGGAATTTTTATAAATTTTTTTTCATAGACATTTATGTACGTACACCTTTTTATGAATTTTTCTTCATATACATTTATGTACATACACACATATATACATGTATATGTATATGAATATGCATAGGTATATTTGTATGCCATCCGTGATATGGATATTTTCATGTGTAAAATTTGACTTACAATTAGGATAAGTTGTATTTCTAGCGGAAGTTGGTGGGACGTAATAATAGTATATTAAAAATATAATTAATTTTACGAAACCAAAATAGGAATATATTATTTATTTGGAAAATTGCTTGAAAGAATAAGAAAATACAAAACCTAGATAATTTCGTTGCAACTTAGAGAGTAATTGGGATTATTATTCTTCTCCACAATTGTACTTTATTTGTGTAAACATGATGAAAATCTATTTTGTTAGAGAAAACACAAGGTTATTCGATATACCCCTAACAACTCACCAAATCACATCAACACCAAACTTCTTCTTCTTCTCTCCACTGCTCCTAGATAGGGGTGGTGTTGAGGCGTGAAGCGACGGCTACATCAACAAAACATGCATGACACCACGTGACACGAGCCCCTAATATCATATGTTTTAATAAGTCCAACATAGTTGGACCATATCATCTACATAGCAAATATCCTTAATTCGAGTTTTTATTTTGTATCTCAAAAAGTCAAATTTAATTAGTCCTTTCATATTGTGTGGTTAACATATTCAGTCAATTAAACTTTTTATTATCGCATACATTCTATTACCACAATATAAACAGATAATTTACATATATATATATATATATATATATATATATATATATATATATATATATTATTGTATACTTTTCATCTCTTTGAGTTGGTCATGGGTGATCTTTGAGTACGCCGAGCGTACGAAGGGGTACGGGGGCGTACTAGCATCAAACCCTAATTTTGGGGTTTTACCCCTATATAAGCAACATTTTATTCATCATCTTGACATTCTAGGTCAACCTCCATCCCCTTTAGCATGCATTGAAACCCTAGAATGCCTTGAGTGAGTTGTGGAGCTTGGAAGAGTGTTTATGGTGGTTTGTGTGAAGAAGAAGGTTGAAGACTCATTTCTTGGAGAGTAGCTTAGAGATCCAGTGTTAGCATCTTCATTTCATGACTTTGGAGATATAAAGTCCCTATCTTGTCTAGTGGTTTGTGTAAGAGAAGAAGAAGGTTGAAGACTCATTTCTTAGATAGTAGCTTAGAGATCCAGTGTTAGCATCTTCATTTCATGACTTTGGAGGTATAAAGTCCCTATCTTGTCTACTTATTTTATAGATCTCCTTTTAGGGTTTGTTTATGGTCACTTTAGCCTCTTTTGGTTGGTCCTCATGAGCTAATGTTGTTTCAGGGGCTTAATCTTGTAGATTTGGACGTTTTAGGTGTCCTAAAGGCATAAAAATGTGATCTTTATGGTTTATTTGGAATCATGCATGTGCTAAGACCGTTCATTAAACTCTTTTGAGCTTTAGAGCCCTATTAAGCCATACATACAAGTAAAGTTGCCAACTTTACGTGATAAGTCATCCATAGGAATCAGATCTGAGAGTTTAGGGCAAGGACTTAAGTGGTTAAGTACTTAATGGAGAAGAATGGGGTTCAGGGGAGTATGTTAGGCATACCCATCTGGTACGATGCGCGTAATGGCCCCAAAGGGTGTACGTTGGACGTACTAGCTGAGTACGGGGGGTGTACTCGGTCTGTTCGACTTTTCTTATTTTCTTGACTTGTTGGCTATGGACCTTTGACCAAAAGTTTGACCACGGTTGACTTTTGGATATTTTGGGCCTTTTAGGATATTGGGCCTTCTCGGTCTAGGTCCATGTTGGGTTTGGGCATAATTTGGATAATTGGGCCATATTTGGGCTTTGGGTAATTAATGAGATTTTGGGCTTTCAGATTTTGGGTTATCAGGTCGATTATTGATTAAAATTGTATTTATTGTTAGTTAGCACGAGGTTATCAAGTACGACGGTGTGAACAGTCATTTGAGTATCAGCAGGTTGAGGTAAGTTTTCCTCACTGTATTTGCGAGTCGAAGGCACCAGGGTCGGCCCATCGGTTTGTGTAACATCCCAAAATTCATGACCAAAAATTTCATTTTTAATTAAGTATAAAACCAATAGTCTGAGATATCCATAGTGTTAACTCATTTCATAATCAAAAACCAATACTTCAAATAACTAAAGCATGTCATAGAAAAGTATTATCATAGTACAACTCCAAAAGATCTCATAAGGTGGAAATCATAGTGTGATGCACTACGATCCTGTTGGCTTCTTTCCTTTTGAAAAGGTACATAAAACCAAAATTGAAAATTGTAAGCACGAAGCTTAGTGAGCTCCCCCATCATACCACATAATTATATACTGCCAGGCATATCTGGGTGCCCGACCTACTCTGCCAAGCATATATGGGTGCTCGACCTACCCTGCCAGGCATATCTGGGTGCCCAACCTACCCTGTCAAGCATTTTTGGGTGCTCGACCTACCCTGTCAAGCATTTCTGGGTGCTCGACCTACCCTCTGGTTTATTTCAACAGGTTACGGGGACTATTTCACCCCTACCACTCTAACATAACATAATCCTACTGTCAGGCATATATGGGTGCCCGACCTACCATGTCAAGCATATTTGGGTGCTCGACCTCCTCCCCCCCCCCCCCCCCCCCCGCATTTATTTCAACCGGTTACGGGGACTATTTCACCACTTACCGCTACCACATAATAACATAGCATAACATACTGTCAGGTGTCAAGCATATCTAGGTGCATGACCTGCCCTGTTGGTTTATCTCAACCTGATCCGGGGACTAGTCCCCTTCCTACCACTATCACATAATATCATAGCTTACTAGCACATACAACATAATAGATAGTGGCATTCCAGTCAATTATCACAAAGATAATCATCTCTACTATAATCAACTACTAGTGGGTCGGCATAGGTGCCTTAGACCCACTTCAACTGAAAGGTAACTTACCTCATATTACTGAAGTCCACTACAAGAGTTCCTTAGCTGCTGCCCTGGAAACTCCTCGAGCTATCAATACCTAAAACCTCACCTAATTAGCAATTGGGTCTCAAACCATGATCCAAAACCCTTACTTGGGGTGTAATGACCATTTCACCCTGACCCATCAAGGCCCATACTATATAATCCATGAAAGTCCATTGATGGCCCAATTTTCCAAATTGGGCCTAAACCCTTACATGGGACTACCCTCTAGAATCCATTCAGTACTTCATAACCTTCCAAGGGTCAACCTTGGTCAAAGTCCATGTCAAAGTTATGTGACAACCGTCAAATTCTGGTCAATTCAAAGTCAAATAAAGTCAACAAGTCAAACCGGTCAACTCAATTAACCCTGGTGTACTAGGGCTTACGTTATGTAATTACTAAACAACTTGCTATTCTGATGAGAGATCATAAATCAAAAAGTACGTACATCCAGATCTCCTTAACCTAAAATTGTGGTAAGTGACGAGCCAAACCGATAAAACAATGTTGCATACTCATCGGGAGTGTGTAAGATCTTTAAACACGGCTTAATGGGGTTTACGGACCTTGCATTGCGAAGCCGGACACTCAAAAAGAGCACAAACGAAACCTCTCTCGATCGTTTTCACTCTATCTCTCTCTATTTAGAAATCTCTCTAAGTATGTGAAATCTCTCCCAAATCTCTCTAAGTATGTGAAATCTCTCCCAAAACTCTCTTTGTATGAGAAATCTCTCCAAGAATGTGAAATCTCTCCCAAATCTCTCTCAAAAGTTCCTTAAACTTTTTATAGTCTTTCGGGCCATCCCGACCCTTAACCAGGTCAAAAACAGCTTAAAACGGGGTAAAAACGAGAAAAACGGACTTGAGGAGCCGAAACCCCTCTCAAGGAACTGAACCCTCTCAAGGAACCGAAACCTCTCAAGGAGCCGAAACCCTAAGGAGCCGAAGCCCTAAGCAACTGAAACCCTAAGCAGCCGAGACCCCAGCTGACAGCCGAAACCGAGACCTGGAAGCCTCTCGGGCCAAAACTGGAAAAGGCGAGACTCTCGGACCGAACCTCGCTT